CGGAGCAGGAAGAGCTTTTGCGCCAGCACGAGCTTCAGATCCTGCACCTCGCCCGCATCTGCTCCTGCTGCTCCGGCTGTTGCTGCCTCGGGTGCGTCAACCATGGTGATCAGGCGTTACTTCTGTGCAATCGCGAGGCTACTATGTGATACGGAGGAGCGGAGTGATTGGGGGATCAGAAGTAACCACTAGTGGCCGGTTGACGCGGTCGCGAGCCAATTACAACCGTAAGCGGATGACCGTGTCCTATTTCAGAATCCGCAATGGCGGAAAGTACAGCTTTGATTTGACGAATCACTGGCCACCAAGTACCTCAGCTGGATCTAAAAGTGTTCGAGTTTAGGGCGTGGAACCCAGTTTGCTGTTTTGGCCAGATTTTGCAACCCAAGCTGGTAACCGCAACCTTTGACGACGCTTGCCGAAACTACTCCTGGTTGCGCTTTTTGGAAAGGCAATCCATGCTCAACACCTTCAACAGCATCAGCAAAAGAAAAGCTGGTACAGTATACACCGTCACTCGTCAACTTTCGGTGTGTGATGGAGCAGATTTCAAATTGGGTTCAGCGAGATTGAAATCTTGTGGGGGGGTTGGGTCCAGCTCAATTGTCGTTTCGAGTATAGTTTCAATTCAACTGACAAGTTTTCTTGTGCTTTGCAAAACGGACCACTGTGCACGATTGGTTGACGAAATAGGAAATCGTCGCTGACGCTTTCGCAACTAGAAAGCTTTAGGATTCGCAAACAGCCACCACATTTTGTATATAACTCTGTTCAGTATAACGTCGCAGCTTCAAACGCGAACATCTGGAAGGGGTGTCTTCGTACTGGGCTGTGAACATGTGAGCGAGCCGCCCTCACAGCCGCCTTTGACCGTTTCCCAGATTATTCACCCTGGCGTCAACGGTAGTGTCAGTTACAAGCCATTCTGTCTTTCCGTCGGACGAGGTCGTCGTTGACCACTTTCAACGTTCGTGCGCTGACGTGGCAGGGCCCCTGTCCTTCATTCACCTCCAAGCCAAGGCAGCAAAATAGCTCCAGGGGTGGTAGAAGCTAAGAACGTATCGCTCACGCTCCATCCTGTTCTCTCCGCCACTCCCTGACATCCATAGTCTGCTCTCCAATGCCCCACATGGATTTTCTGTCCTGACACGTCCCATCGTAACGGCTACAATCATCCCCCTTGGTCCTCGAATTATCGCGTGATGCTTCACGCATACACTTGAAAGCTCTTTAGTTATAGCCACCCGACAGAATAAGTTGCAAGTTCTAGCATCGACGCCTCGCCTAAACTCATAATTTCCGTAACGCAATTCCTCAGACCCTCGTTCCATAACTCAACATCCCCAAATTCCAAGATTCACCCCGGACTCGCAAATTCCCCCTTCCCATGGCCTCTCATCTCACATCAGCCACTCGCGATCCATCTTCCCCCAGCCGCCACCGCGGCGGCTGCGACAGTCATAGGCGGGGGCGTGTTTTCCGGCGGGTCATCCACGAGCTCATCGACGCGACAGCTATCGTCGGAGACCTGACGCTTTCTGAGACGTTTCAGAACCCGCCGAGCACTCCCTGCATGCTGTCCTCCTGTCTCATGCAGCTGCCGCGACAGTTGGTAGCGTATCATAAGGTGCATTCAGCCCCGACGGATGATGCTCAATTCGCGGAGGAAAAAGTCTCTGGGTGGAGAAGTACTGCCGGTAAAGAGTGACTGCGGTTTGGCTGCTGCGATGGCTGCTGCTGCGGGGACGGCGGCGACGGCTGGTAGTTCGCTCAAAGGAGCTGGAATGCGTGAGGGTCTGTTACGAGTTCAAGGGTGCATATCAACTACCGCCGCATTCTTGCTTGCAAATCGTCACCCACTCACGAGACACGTACAGTCGACAGCCACCACCAAACACATCCTCATGACAGGCGTGATCAAAACAAGGACAACAAAAGGAGAAGCTTAGGTGTTGCGGAACCATGCACGTGGTTTTCCCAAGTTACATTTTGCCCGATACCACTTCAGCTTTAGTGACATTGGCTGGCTCGGAAATGCCGAACTAAGTGTTTTCTTGTAAATACGCGGAAATTGTTATTGTACCACACTCAAAGAAAAGCTTTAGATTTGTGTGACCTGCGGCATCAGACTTACTGTGACCTGTAGCATCCCCATCCATACGCCGTCGCCCATGTATGTTCAACTTTCTGCGAGGACTCACCTATGATAGATGCTTCACCTTAGATGCCGCCATGGTTTCAGAGCCTGGCAAAGATTTATACTCTTGCTTCGATCTCGTGTGTTACGACTAGAATACAGTTTGTTTTTGCAATAACTCACCTTCACACACTTCGTAAAAGCATGTTGACGCTAAAGCTAACAAACCCTAAGAATCTGTATCCGACCTATTAGAGCCTCCGTCATGCTTTCAGATGCTACTGTCGCTGGCGCGCTGGCGCGAGAAAAAGTCAATGATAATATCTGGCGACATTGCGCACCATTCAACTTCGTGGTCAGTTGAGGTTTCAGCACAAGCTCCAAACAAGCTGGGCTGGGAAAGACGACTGACGAGGATTGAAACAAATTTGAGCTGGATTGATGGAATCAGCAGAGTTTCTTGACAGCTGTCTGATGGAACAAAGCCATTTCATTCAGCGTTTTGCTGGTGGCATGGCACAAGGCACAGACGGAAATCGAACGGAACGGAATAGTATAGAACGTCTTGCTCTGTCTGTCGAGTCAAGTCCAATCGACGACATTCCAGGCTAGGTCTGGTGGGACCACGAGTCGCAGGTGTGATCGTAAGCTGTACAGTGTGCAGGACTGTGTCGAACATCCACTGACATCCAGGAATATCTGGCTAGCATCTGTGACAAGCTTCTATCGAACCTTTGGACGAAATGGGGGTTATGGGGAGGGTTGATTGCGAGTCGCGACGGGAACGCCTGGTTGTAAATTCAAACACTCGCCTCGCCGCGCATTCCGTTTCACAACTCTCAGGAGCACTGCCTGCCACCTGTATGCCTGGTCCAATCGGCATAAACGACCTTGCGTCTCGCTTTGAGAGACCTTTGTGTACACTTCCAATCGGTTTGGGCCAACGCAACTTCCAGGCTGTTCCGCGTCCTTCCTTGCTGGCCAAACGAAACCGAATCTTGTGTTGATATCGAACCGCGACTCCTCCAAGGCGAGCCCGTTATGGTCGCCGAGCGGCGCGGTCGTCCAATGGACCACGTGATTTGGCTGGTGTTTGCCCAGGAGTTTGTTTCAGGTGGCTTCGCCCGTTCATGATTGGCCGGATTGTTGGAAAAGAAGCACGTTTGGGAAGCCTTGTTCGGGAAGCTGATGTTTTGGTTCGGGTGGAAGGGAGCGAGACTCCCCAAGCAAGCCGATTCATCGTCAACAATGAACGAACGTTCGCTGGCCTGGTTGGGTGGCGTAGCGTGTCATGGATTCGTCGGTCAGTCGGTGGCGCAGGGCAACTTTTCGCGTTTCACGTCACACCACCAATTGTGATTCCTGTGGGCTGGACACACCACACTCTCCCCCACCGCGTTCCCCGCATCTCCCCTGGCGGCCCACCTTGAATCAGTACAGTATGGTGCACGCGCGACCCACCCACCCACCGTCCCCTCTGTTGATCGTTCGTCGTCTGATCATTTTGCTTTCACTTCACATCCACCTCCCCGCCCCCCCCCTCTTCCTCAACAATTTCCTTGTACACAGTTCGAGCTGTATAAAGCAGAGTTAATCAAATTAATCGTCGTAAATTCAAACAGCGTGTCAACCACACGAACGATATCAGCTCATCGCTTTCAGTTTCAGTATTGCCCTCCAAACCTTCCAAGTCCAATCCTTCGGAGCTACTAACTTCACGACAACTAACCCGCGACTCGTCCAAGAAACTCGCACACCCCTCTTGTACCCTCCGCGACCTTCAACAATCGACTCGCTTCGACCTTCGCACCGTCGCTCTCGTTACAACACCCCCATCGCTCCCTGTTCTCCTCGCTTCACGCACATCTGCTTCCGATCCTCCCTCCCCAATTTCGACGACAAATGGCGATTTCAAGCAGACCGAAACTCCCGCCCCGGGCTCCATCCCCTACTCCCTCTTCTCAACCGGGCAGCCTATCGGGCAGCCCGTCGGGCAGCGCGTCCTGCCCGAGCAGCACGACCAGCAGCCCGAAGCGCAGCCGTAGCCCGAGCTGCTACAGCCGAAGCAGCGGCTGTAGCGCGACGAGCAGCCCTCTGCGGTGTCGCGGCAGCCCCAGCAGCAGCAGAAAACCCGGCGGCCTAAGCGCGAGCAGTAACCAATGGTGGGCGTCCGTACGGTGCGAGGGGAAGGGGCTGGCGCAAGCGGTGGAGAGTCTCGTGGCGAACACTGTCGCGGAGTTCAGTGTCATCGAATAGAGATGACACGGCGCAGCCGGAGATGAAACGCGACGCGCTCGCCGCCTGGGTACAAGATCTTACCTAGTATTCCCTGGATTCGGGACCATGACTCTTCACTCAAATATTTGACTCAGGATTGACCCTTTTCTGCAGTTTTGTCCTATCCCCGTTAATAGCCCGCGCTCTCCCACATCTTCAAGTCGGATCGGACAAGATGGCGAAGTTTTTTCTCGCGCGAGCGCGAGTCAGAATGATGTTCAATTCCGACGGGTACATACTTGAAGCTGCGGTCTACGATTTGTTTATTTAGGCAAATAGGGTGTACTTCAGTAACCGAGGGATTTTAGGGGCTAGAAGGCTAGGTTAGGGAACCACGCTAGTCCATCTATCTTGTTACAGCTGTATGCTTGAATAACTTAATTCATTAATTATCTTGCGACACTGTAACGAGGATGAGCCAAGTAACCAACTTCGCCTATCAGCCAGCTACTGCTGACCAATGGCCTGCCCATCCCTTGAGAAATTTGTAACACCCACTTCTGCATCAGTTCAGCTGCACCGCTCTCCATGCAGATGCCTCTCCATGCAGATGCCTCTCCATGCAGATGCCTCTCAAGGTGATACCTCAGCACAGCACCCTCCCATAGAGAGAGAGTCTCACTGAAAGCGTCACCTCAGTAGCACGGTGCTCCTCACTCCCACATACCTCAGCAACATTCACTCCCTCCCTCCCAAGCACCTCTTGCAGCTTTCATTCCCCAGAAATCCCTCAGCACAACACTCACTCTCCCCAGATAACCCCTCCCTCCGTTCACATTCCCCGGCCATTTCAGAACACGAAGAATTGAGAGGGAACAAAGAGGTCAATCGGCCACAGCAGCACATCAGCCATCTCCGCCACTCCCCCACTCCTCCCCTCCCTCCTCTCCTGCTCCACCTCCAACTGCCTCCTCGCCTCCGCTGCCGCCTCTCTCGACCTCGCAGCCTCCCTCTCCCTCACTCTCTCTCTCCCTCTCGCCACCCTCACTTCCTCTCTCAGACCCTCCACAGCCCGACTCAACTCAGCCACCGTAGAGCTCTTGGCTTCTCGAAACGCCCGTGCTTCCTCTGCCCGAATACGGCTTTCTCTTGCTGCCACCACGACTCGAGTACTCAGCTGCTGAGTCGTCTCTTTGGATTGATGTAACTGCCGGTTCATCTCCTGTTGCAACTCGTGGAGTGCTGCTGCTGTGTCCTCTGCCCGTTCTTCTGCCTGTTCTGCGTCAAATTTTGCAGCCCTGGCCTCTCCTTGGGCAGCCGAAAGTTCCTGCTGTACCTGCCCGAGATCCTCCTCCAGCCACGCAACGGTTCGCTCAAGCTGCCCGCATTGATCTAGGGCAGTCCAAAGATCCTGGCGCAGGGCTTCAGCTTCGGAAGCCAGCCGAACCTGCTCAGCTTCGGCAGCAAACAGCTTATTCCGAACCTCCTCCACAGCTGCAGCAGCAGCCTCGGCTCCAAAAACCGCTTCCGAGGCTCGGCCCCTCCCAGCCGCTCCAGCAGCCTCGGCCCGAAGCAACTCGTCAGTTCGTGGCCGAAGCTGACTCACCTCTTCGTCTTGTTTGACCAGCGTTGACTGCAGATGCCGGATGAGAATCTTGAGCCGTTGATTCTCCCTGTGCGTGCGATCCAGGCCGTCCAGCAGCCAGGTTGTTCTGTCCTCTTCTGGTATGTATGCATACTTCTGACGCCAAGTCAGAGGCTCTACACTGCTCCTGCTGCTGCTACCACGCCCACCTGATCCTTCCCCTGCATCAGCAGCACCACCAACACCATCACCACCCGCAGCACCGGCACTAGCACTGATACCAGCAAAAGCAGCAGCAGCAGCACCGCCACCACCACCGCCAGCAGCAGCAAAGCCTGCAACAGAGCCTCCACCACCGTTGCCACCGCTGCTCATACTCATTGTCCTCTCTAAAAGCAGATCCACATCAACACCACTGCGCAGCGCCGCCACCCCCTCTACACCCTCCAACTGCACCATCAACTCCGAAACCCTCTCCTCTGCTGCTCTCTGCCTCTCTTCCGCCTCCCTCACTGCTGTTTCCACCTGAGATTTCACCTGATCTTTCTCCTGGTCCACCTGAGACCGCAACCTGGCGAGCTGCTCCTCTGCTACAGCCAGATCTACCTGAAGCCTGCCCGCCCTCTCGTCTGCTTCATTCCTCTCCCCACTCACTCTCTCAAGTTCTTCCAGTGCAGATTGCAACGTGCCACTTACACCCTCCACTCTTCCCCCTGCTCCTCCTCCTCCTTCTCCTTTTCCTGTTCGGGCAGCATCAAAAGATCTCCGCAGCCGCTCGTTCTCTGCTTTCAGCCGAGCTATTTCCTCCCGGGCAGCACTCAAGCTCCCGTCCAGCTGCCTCAACAAAACAGTCTCGTTTCCCCTCCCCTGCCAACCCTCCCCTCCTCCTCCACCCTCAGCTCCTCGCCCTCCCCCTCCTCCCCCTCCACCCTCCTCTCCTCCACTCTCCCCTCCTCCCCTTCCAGTCCCCCCTAACCCATACTCTCCTCCTCTCTCCCCCCCACGTCTCTCTTCCATTCCTGTACTCTTTACCACACGCTCTGATTCACGGCTTCTCACTACATCCAGCTCTTTCCTTAGCTTGCTATTTTCCTCCCTTAAACGACCGCTCTCAGCTAAAAGTGCCTTCATTCTTTCACGCTGCCCTTGCCCGTCCTCCAGCACCTGCCCGAGCTCCCCCTGGGCAGCCGCCAAAACCCTTTGCGCCTGCTCATTCTCATCTTTCAGCTGCCCGACCTCCTCCGTTAACCTCTCATTCTCCTCCCGAACCTCATCAGCCTCGGCCCGAGCCTTTGCAGCTGCGGTCAGGGACTTCCGAACCTGCTCCCCAAGTTTCTCATTTTCTTCCATATACTCCCCGACCCGCGTCTGCTCATCAATCAAACTCTCTTTCAAAATTTCCAGATCTGCCCGAAGCTCCCTCGCCTCTTCACTCGCCTCTTTTAACCCCTCTGCCAATTCCCTCCCCTCCTCCTGCGCACCTGCCAGCTCAGCACGAACCACCGTCAGCTCAGACCGGGCAGCCCCGAACTTCTTCCTGAGCTGCCCGAAGCTCCGTCTGCAGCTGCATTATCTGCCCGTTGGCCTGGGATAGCCGTTCCTGTGCCTGTGCCTCTGCCTGAGCCTGTACCTGTTTCAACTGTCCCTGTGCTTGCTCTAGCTGCTCCTGTGCGTGTGACAACTGCAGCTGAACCCGACCCTTGCTCTCTTCCACCCGTGCCACGTCATCCCACGCACTCTTCAATGATCGGCGTAGCTCAGCGTTTTCTTCCCGCATCGTGGAAGCTTCCTCCTGGGACGCCTGCAGCAGCGACTGTAAATCGAGCAAGGCGGAAATCAGCTGCTGTTGCTCTGCTCCGGATTCTGCTCCTGATCCCAGTTTTCCAGCAGCATTAGCTGCACCGGCTTCAGAAGCTGCACCAGAAGCACGGCCTGGTAAACTGGCTCTCATCCCATCGCCTCCTCCTGTATCTCCGAACCCTTCTGTACCCCCTAAAAGCGTGAAAGAACTCCTTCCCGAAAGTGCGCTGCTGGTGTCAACTTGAAAGTTATCCCACGTGGACGCCTCTGCTTGGCCTTCTTCCAGATCCTTCCACTTCACCTGCCTCTTAGGCTTCTCTGTTAAATGAACTGGACTGCCGAACCTACCTCCAGGTTCGGCAACCCCCGCGGAACTTGCAGGCTCGGGTGGAGAGTGCGAAGGCTGTGCAGCACTAGGGGAGTATTTCTCCCTTAGCCGCTGAAGAATGCCGTCCACGTCCATGTTATCCCCGTTATTGTCCATGAATGAGGAATCTACAAGCGAACAACTTTTGAGTCGACAAAAAAAAAAAAAGAATTGCAATGAGCTGGCGCTTGCGACGGAGCGAGAAGAGTAGACGATGTAGTGACGACAGGTGGTTTTTGAGAATTCTCAAAAACCACCTGCAAGGACAAAGTGACGCTAAGAACAAAAGTACGCGAATGACCAAGCGAACGAACAAAGCCGCGATGCCAAGACGAAAGAAACAAATGCCCTTATACTCGTTACTTAGGTTGCGGTGCGGTGGTGGCAGTGGGTGTTGATAACTAACTAGATGTGTCTGGCGGGGCAAATGTGGTCGCCTAGTCTGGACGGAGAGGTCTCTGCGATGTGCGATCTGCCGTGGTCTCGCTGTGCTGTGTGTGCGACTGGTTGGTTGGTCGCAGGTTTACGGGTTGACGATGTCAAAGGCGGGTTGTTGCGAAATCTGGGTGGCTGGCGAGTTTCGTTATATCCCCCCAACCCGACATGGAAGTTTCATGTCAACTGCGACATTTTGGTTACCTTCTCTAACATTCGCCAATCCTCTGATCGCGTGTTGGTCAAACTACCCTAAACCCTGACCAGAAGTACTTCGATCGCATACAATTTAGCACCATAAATCTAACAGCCTGCCCGCGACACGTGAGAGCTAGAACATTACTAGTTAAGACTAAGGATCAAGAACCGAACGGTTCAAGGCAGAAGATGGGTGTGACGAAGAGAACTCCAGCTCGGAAGGGCGCCGATACGAAGAGACGAGTTAGCAGCAGCGACGACGAGGAGGAGAAAAACGATGAGCTAGACGCGTCGATCCAGGCGCTGCTGCAGAAACGATTGGAAGAACGAGGTAAGTTGTGACTAGTCCCGTAGCTGGTTCGGCTCAAAAGTCGACTGAGAATAACCTTCGAAGGATGCGCTTTACGGAGATATGCGGAAAGTTGCCTTGAAAGTAAAGTAGACGGAGCTTAAGAACGGGATGATTTTAGCCGTTGCCGCACCGGGCATTTTTTCAGGAAAACTCGACTGAAATCATCCCTCGTGAATACCAAGGCATCATTCGTGAATATTCATTATATATTGTAATGGATACGACTGGAGCGTAGCATTCAGCAAAGTACTATGCCGGTTTTCCTGAAAACGCTCTCCAAGGGTTCGAATACCGAGGCGAGTACTATCGCCAACCGCACGAATTCTGTTTTTGAGTCGACTAATAAACGAGGCGAGTATTATCGCCAACCGCACGAATTCGTCAGTTGAAACGTGCTGAAGCAATCCCATCGACATCAAGGGTTCAGGGTTTTACCTGGGAGGTTTAGGTGCCCGGTTCTTCTGCTGTCTCCTCATGCCGCCTTAGCATACCGCAGTAAACCTTTAGCTTGTGTCAATATTGCATCTTCTAAGATTATGGTCTTACTGACGGAGTAATTTTAACTGAAAGTGTAACTGTAACTGTAACTGAAACTGTACTGCAGGCGAGATGTTCATGAGTATGTTCCAAGATGATGAGCGTGGCGAGTCGGCCAACGGATCACTCCAGCCGGCTGCCACGTCAGCAAATACACCAGGTCAGGTATGTGTGTCTGAAACGAATGCATTTCTTTTCTTCCTCCTCCTCGTACGTCCATTCCTGGAACTTAGAAGTCAACCTTCCATTAATTTCCAAGGCCACACTCTCCCCATCCTCCGCCCTCATCCTCGCCCCACCCTTTCCCCATCCTCTTCCATCCTCCCCCCATCCGATTCCTTTCCCATCCCTCCCCCCTCCCCCCCCTCCTCCCCTCCTCCCCTCCATTCTACACGATCTGCAGCAGACCAGCCGGGCTGCCTCGCAATCAGCAGCAGCACGGGCCGTTGATCGAACCCGATCCAACGGCTCCACAGCAGCGGCAGAAGCACAACCAAGCACCGCCACAGGTGCGCCCAATGGCTCTTCTGCATCATGCACGTTCTCTCTATTCCAGGACTCTGGGTTCGGGGTTTGGGGATCAATACGGCTCCGGATTTGGGGGTTGTGGGTTTCTGAATCTCCGTGTCTCTTCGTCTCTTCACTATCTCTCACGCTGCTGCACTGCACACCCCAAGCTTCGAATCTTATGGGGGTTTAGTTACAATAGTTACCCCAGGCTTCAATTTAGCCACTTTCGGAGGTGGAATTCAAAGTTACACCCTGCTTGGCCTGCCTGCCTTTCCCCCCCCCCTTCTCCTCCCCTCCCCTCCCCCCCATCCGTCTTACGCGTTTCTTGCCTCTTCGGCACAGACTATTAGGGCAGGCGTGTTGTGAGCCGACACAAAAGTCGTCTTTTCCTTATCTGTCTGTCTTCTCCTCCTTCCTGCCCAATTTCTAAACCTGTCAGATGGCAAGGGCAAGCGGGTAGCTGACGGTGTGAAGGCGCAGCAGAGAGGAAGAAGATCCGTGGTGGGGAATGGGAGTGTGGTGCGGAGTGGGAGTAGAGAAGGAAGGGAGGAGCAACAACAGGAGGAGGGAGAGGAAGAAGGGGAGGAGGAGGAAGAGGAGGAGGAGGACGGGGAGGAGGAAGAGGAGGAGGAGGGGGAGGATGGGGAGGAGTTGGAAGAGGAAGACGAGGAGGAGGAAGAGGAAGAAGTGGAGGAGGAAGAGGAGGAAGAGGAGGAGGAGGAGGAGGAGGAGGAGGAGGAGGAGGAGGAGGAGGAGGAGGAGGAGGAGGAGGAGGAGGGTGGGGGTGTGAGTGGTCCGGAAGTTGTAGTGTTTCAAGAGGGGAGTAACCTCAAGAAGAAAGCAACACGTGTCAAGCTCCTATTGGGTGGCCAGATCAGCAGCAGGAAGGAGAGAAAGCTCTTCATGGTGAGCTGCAGATGGAGAATGTTGCTGTGTGGTGGGATGAGGTGCTGTGCGCTGCAGCGCAGTGCAGAGTGGTGCGGTTCGTTGCGGTGCGGTGCAGTGCGGTGTGTTGTGCGAACTCCCTCTTTTCCTCTCGTTACAGCACTTCCCTTCCTCTTTATGTGCCTTCTCCCCACCCTCTCTCAACCCCACAACCCCCCTCCTCCCCCTCCACCCAAACACATTCCCGCCACATCCGAGGTAACCCAAGGCTGTGCATTAGGAGCCAGAGGAGAGGCGGAGAGAATGCAGATTCTGTTTTCCCTTCCACTTGCTGCACTTTGGTCCCGCTCCCCCCAGTCGTCTAAAGTCGCCAACATTTTCAGGGATCCCAACGCACTGGTGGAAGAACCAGAAGGGAGGCGGAGGAGGCAAGGCAGAGGGCCAAGCTCCCTTTTAACCCTTCCCCTTCCCTTCCCTTTGCCCCCATTCTCCAGTCGTCCAAAGTCGCAACATCTTCAGGGATCCCAATGCACCGGTGGAAGAACCAGAAGGGAGGCGGCGGAGGGGGAGCGAAGCCAGAGGACCAGACTCTCCCTTTTTTTTCCCTTGGTACACTTCCCATTCCCTGTACCGTACCCCAGTCGTCCAAAGTCGCCAACATTTTCAGGGATCCCAACGCACCGGTGGAGGAACCAGAGGGGAGGTGGCGGAGGAGTAGGGAAGGCAGTGGGACAGACAAACTCTTTATTTTCCTCCCCTTCCTGCTCTTTCCCAGTCGTCCAAAGTGGCCAACATATTCAGGGATCCCAACGCACCGGTGGAGGAACCAGAGGGGAGGAGAAGGAGGGGCAGAGGGCGGGCGGTGAAGAAAGAGGAGGAGGACGAGGAGGAGAAGGAGACGCGGCTGCACATGGAGGAGTACATTGCGATTGCGAGGGAGACAGAGCGGTTGGGCGTGTCAACGATGGAGTGGAACCAGCGCAAGCAGTGGGAGACGAACCACATCGTGCGACATCTTGGTGTGAAGGTGAGTGTTGTTTGTGTGGGTGTGTGGGTGTGCGTGTGTGTGTGTGTGTGTGTGTGTGTGTGTGGGTGTGTGTGTGTGTGGGTGTGGGAGTGGGTGTGGGAGTGGGTGTGTGCTTTTGTTTTGTGTGTGGGTGAGAGTCAGCTTGAGGGATCTGGGGAAAAGAAATGAAGCACAAGTAAGAGGGGAGCCAAACCACATTGTGCGGCATCTGGGGGTGAAGGTGGGAGGGGGTGTGCGTGCGTGTGTGGATGTGCATGCGTGTGTGGATGTGCATGCGTGTGTGGATGTGCATGCGTGTGTGGATGTGCATGCGTGTGTGGATGTGCATGCGTGTGTGAACATCGTGGTTACAAAAGCATCTTGGCTCCTCGTGGCTTGTCACTCTTTTTCCTCCCTTTCGACTGTGCCGCTCTCTCCCCTTCTCTTCCCCCCCCCCTTTCTTGTCTTCACAGCCGCCCAAGCACATGAGCATGAACATAGCAGCAACGGAAGGGCCTTTCATCCCTATCCTTCTCGCTCTTCCTTACACTGCCCTCCCCCTCTCCACCGCACAGCCGCCCAAGCGCATGAGCATGAACATTGCAGCCACGGAGGGGTATCGGTCAGTGCAGAGGAAGAAACGGCTGCGAGAACTTGAGGAGGTGGGTTGATGGGAGGAGGGTGGGAAGAAAGGGAAGGTTTGGCTGTAGAGGCAGGCAGCCACGGAGGGGTATCGGTCAGTGCAGAGGAAGAAACGGCTGCGAGAACTCGAGGAGGTGGGTTGATGGGAGGAGGGTGGGAAGAAAGGGAAGGTTTGGCTGTAGAGGCAGGCAGCCACGGAGGGGTATCGGTCAGTGCAGAGGAAGAAACGGCTGCGAGAACTTGAGGAGGTGGGTTGATGGGGGAGGTGGGTTGGTTGGAGCATTGCTGCACAAAAGAGTTGCTGGGCAAGGGTGGAAGAGACGGGATGAGATGTGGAAGTGGAGAGATGTGGGGGAGGGAAGAGACCAATTGTTGACCTGTAGCCATCCGTACCTTCACACATCAACCAGTATAAGTCAAGTCTGTGAATCACTTCGAAGCACCACCCTCTCCTTCCCCTAACCCTCTCTAGTTGCTTTGATTTCTGCGAACCTGTGTGAAAAGAAGAGCAAGCACAGGAGGCTGGGGCAGGGCACCCTGGCCCAGCCATCTGAACCACCTCCCAGCAGCACCATTTATTTTTTCCTCTGACCGTCCTTCTTTCCCTTGCTTCCTTCGCTACTTCCTTGGCTTTCCCCTCACGACCCTTCCAGGAAGTTGCTTCTGGGATGATCCAAGTGAAGGGAGGGAATCCTCACGACAAGAAGAGCAAGCACAGGAGGCTGGGGCAGGGCACCCTTGCCCGGCTGCTGGCAGAAGAGGAAGAGGCCAAAGAAAGAAGAGGCTGGGCTGGAGTACTCTCGCCTGGCCGGCTAGAAACTGCCTCATAGGATAGGACCACCCTCCTCACCCTGACCCTCCTGCTCTCCCTTGCTTCCTTTACTGCTCTCCCTTGTGTTTCACCTCCCGACCCTTCCAGGAAGTTGCCTCTGGAATGCTCCAAGTGAAGGGAGGGAACCCTCGTGACAAGAAGAGCAAGCTCAGGCGGCTGGGCAGGGTACTCTAGCCTGGCTGCTGGAAGAGGAGGAAGAGGTGTCTCGAGTCAACTCAGAAGTAGTTTTTGAGTCGAGTTAAAGCTCGTTTCAAAGAACAACCCCGCTGTCCATTAAACTCCCCTCCTTGCTCTCCTCTCTTCCCCACCCTCCCTTGCCTTGATTTATATTATGCTTCCAGGAAGTTGCCTCTGGAATGATCCAAGTAAAGGGAGCAAACCCGCGCGACAAGAAGAGCAAGCACAGGCGGCTGGGCCAGGGCACCCTCGCTCGGCTGCTAGCCGAAGAGGAAGAGGCCAAAGAAGGCCGCCCGAGAAAGGCGCGAGTTGACTGGCGGGCGGAGGAGCGAGGGCTTAAAGCCTCGGATGGGGATTACCAAGGCGGGGTGTTGCATGTGGATCCGAGGAAGTGGAATATTGGAGGGGATGGGGGAGGGCGGAAGGGCGGAGGGGTGATTGGGGATAAGGATTTGTCAGGGTTTGGCGGCGGGGGGAGAAGGAGAGGGGGTGGTGGAGGGGGGAAGGGGAAAAAGAGGGGTTCGGGAGGGAAAGGGAGGGGGAAGGGAAAGCGGTCGAGAGGAAGGAGATAGGTCATGCGAGGCTCAGACTGTTTTGAGACGTCTCAAAACACACATGCGAGGCTCAGACTGTTTTGAGACGTCTCAAAACACACATGCGAGGCTCAGACTGTTTTGAGACGTCTCAAAACACACATGCAAGGCTCAGACTGTTTTGAGACGTCTCAAAACACACATGCAAGGCTCAGACTGTTTTGAGACGTCTCAAAACACACATGCAAGGCTCAGACTGTTTTGAGACGTCTCAAAACACACATGCAAGGCTCAGACTGTTTTGAGACGTCTCAAAACACACATGCGAGGCTCAGACTGTTTTGAGACGTCTCAAAACACACATGCAAGGCTCAGACTGTTTTGAGACGTCTCAAAACACACATGCAAGGCTCAGACTGTTTTGAGACGTCTCAAAACACACATGCAAGGCTCAGACTGTTTTGAGACGTCTCAAAACACACATGCAAGGCTCAGACTGTTTTGAGACGTCTCAAAACACACATGCGAGGCTCAGACTGTTTTGAGACGTCTCAAAACACACATGCAAGGCTCAGACTGTTTTGAGACGTCTCAAAACACACATGCGAGGCTCAGACTGTTTTGAGACGTCTCAAAACACACATGCGAGGCTCAGACTGTTTTGAGACGTCTCAAAACACACATGCGAGGCTCAGACTGTTTTGAGACGTCTCAAAACACACATGCGAGGCTCAGACTGTTTTGAGACGTCTCAAAACACACATGCGAGGCTCAGACTGTTTTGAGACGTCTCAAAACACACATGCAAGGCTCAGACTGTTTTGAGACGTCTCAAAACACACATGCGAGGCTCAGACTGTTTTGAGACGTCTCAAAACACACATGCAAGGCTTAGACTGTTTTGAGACGTCTCAAAACACACATGCGAGGCTCAGACTGTTTTGAGACGTCTCAAAACACACATGCGAGGCTCAGACTGTTTTGAGACGTCTCAAAACACACATGCGAGGCTCAGACTGTTTTGAGACGTCTCAAAACACACATGCGAGGCTCAGACTGTTTTGAGACGTCTCAAAACACACATGCGAGGCTCAGACTGTTTTGAGACGTCTCAAAACACACATGCAAGGCTCAGACTGTTTTGAGACGTCTCAAAACACACATGCGAGGCTCAGACTGTTTTGAGACGTCTCAAAACACACATGCGAGGCTCAGACTGTTTTGAGACGTCTCAAAACACACATGCAAGGCTCAGACTGTTTTGAGACGTCTCAAAACACACATGCGAGGCTCAGACTGTTTTGAGACGTCTCAAAACACACATGCAAGGCTCAGACTGTTTTGAGACGTCTCAAAACACACATGCGAGGCTCAGACTGTTTTGAGACGTCTCAAAACACACATGCGAGGCTCAGACTGTTTTGAGACGTCTCAAAACACACATGCAAGGCTCAGACTGTTTTGAGACGTCTCAAAACACACATGCGAGGCTCAGACTGTTTTGAGACGTCTCAAAACACACATGCAAGGCTCAGACTGTTTTGAGACGTCTCAAAACACACATGCGAGGCTCAGACTGTTTTGAGACGTCTCAAAACACACATGCGAGGCTCAGACTGTTTTGAGACGTCTCAAAACACACATGCAAGGCTCAGACTGTTTTGAGACGTCTCAAAACACACATGCAAGGCTCAGACTGTTTTGAGACGTCTCAAAACACACATGCGAGGCTCAGACTGTTTTGAGACGTCTCAAAACACACATGCGAGGCTCAGACTGTTTTGAGACGTCTCAAAACACACATGCAAGGCTCAGACTGTTTTGAGACGTCTCAAAACACACATGCAAGGCTCAGACTGTTTTGAGACGTCTCAAAACACACATGCGAGGCTCAGACTGTTTTGAGACGTCTCAAAACACACATGCGAGGCTCAGACTGTTTTGAGACGTCTCAAAACACACATGCAAGGCTCAGACTGTTTTGAGACGTCTCAAAACACACATGCGAGGCTCAGACTGTTTTGAGACGTCTCAAAACACACATGCAAGGCTCAGACTGTTTTGAGACGTCTCAAAACACACATGCAAGGCTCAGACTGTTTTGAGACGTCTCAAAACACACATGCAAGGCTCAGACTGTTTTGAGACGTCTCAAAACACACATGCAAGGCTCAGACTGTTTTGAGACGTCTCAAAACACACATGCGAGGCTCAGACTGTTTTGAGACGTCTCAAAACACACATGCAAGGCTCAGACTGTTTTGAGACGTCTCAAAACACACATGCGAGGCTCAGACTGTTTTGAGACGTCTCAAAACACACATGCGAGGCTCAGACTGTTTTGAGACGTCTCAAAACACACATGCGAGGCTCAGACTGTTTTGAGACGTCTCAAAACACACATGCGAGGCTCAGACTGTTTTGAGACGTCTCAAAACACACATGCGAGGCTCAGACTGTTTTGAGACGTCTCAAAACACACATGCAAGGCTCAGACTGTTTTGAGACGTCTCAAAACACACATGCGAGGCTCAGACTGTTTTGAGACGTCTCAAAACACACATGCGAGGCTCAGACTGTTTTGAGACGTCTCAAAACACACATGCAAGGCTCAGACTGTTTTGAGACGTCTCAAAACACACATGCGAGGCTCAGACTGTTTTGAGACGTCTCAAAACACACATGCAAGGCTCAGACTGTTTTGAGACGTCTCAAAACACACATGCGAGGCTCAGACTGTTTTGAGACGTCTCAAAACACACATGCGAGGCTCAGACTGTTTTGAGACGTCTCAAAACACACATGCAAGGCTCAGACTGTTTTGAGACGTCTCAAAACACACATGCGAGGCTCAGACTGTTTTGAGACGTCTCAAAACACACATGCAAGGCTCAGACTGTTTTGAGACGTCTCAAAACACACATGCGAGGCTCAGACTGTTTTGAGACGTCTCAAAACACACATGCGAGGCTCAGACTGTTTTGAGACGTCTCAAAACACACATGCAAGGCTCAGACTGTTTTGAGACGTCTCAAAACACACATGCAAGGCTCAGACTGTTTTGAGACGTCTCAAAACACACATGCGAGGCTCAGACTGTTTTGAGACGTCTCAAAACACACATGCGAGGCTCAGACTGTTTTGAGACGTCTCAAAACACACATGCAAGGCTCAGACTGTTTTGAGACGTCTCAAAACACACATGCAAGGCTCAGACTGTTTTGAGACGTCTCAAAACACACATGCGAGGCTCAGACTGTTTTGAGACGTCTCAAAACACACATGCGAGGCTCAGACTGTTTTGAGACGTCTCAAAACACACATGCAAGGCTCAGACTGTTTTGAGACGTCTCAAAACACACATGCGAGGCTCAGACTGTTTTGAGACGTCTCAAAACACACATGCGAGGCTCAGACTGTTTTGAGACGTCTCAAAACACACATGCGAGGCTCAGACTGTTTTGAGACGTCTCAAAACACACATGCGAGGCTCAGACTGTTTTGAGACGTCTCAAAACACACATGCGAGGCTCAGACTGTTTTGAGACGTCTCAAAACACACATGCGAGGCTCAGACTGTTTTGAGACGACTCAAAACACACATGCGAGGCTCAGACTGTTTTGAGACGTCTCAAAACACACATGCGAGGCTCAGACTGTTTTGAGACGTCTCAAAACACACATGCGAGGCTCAGACTGTTTTGAGACGTCTCAAAACACACATGCAAGGCTCAGACTGTTTTGAGACGTCTCAAAACACACATGCGAGGCTCAGACTGTTTTGAGACGTCTGAAAACACACATGCGAGGCTCAGACTGTTTTGAGACGTCTCAAAACACACATGCAAGGCTCAGACTGTTTTGAGACGTCTCAAAACACACATGCGAGGCTCAGACTGTTTTGAGACGTCTCAAAACACACATGCAAGGCTCAGACTGTTTTGAGACGTCTCAAAACACACATGCGAGGCTCAGACTGTTTTGAGACGTCTCAAAACACACATGCGAGGCTCAGACTGTTTTGAGACGTCTCAAAACACACATGCAAGGCTCAGACTGTTTTGAGACGTCTCAAAACACACATGCGAGGCTCAGACTGTTTTGAGACGTCTCAAAACACACATGCAAGGCTCAGACTGTTTTGAGACGTCTCAAAACACACATGCGAGGCTCAGACTGTTTTGAGACGTCTCAAAACACACATGCGAGGCTCAGACTGTTTTGAGACGTCTCAAAACACACATGCAAGGCTCAGACTGTTTTGAGACGTCTCAAAACACACATGCAAGGCTCAGACTGTTTTGAGACGTCTCAAAACACACATGCGAGGCTCAGACTGTTTTGAGACGTCTCAAAACACACATGCGAGGCTCAGACTGTTTTGAGACGTCTCAAAACACACATGCAAGGCTCAGACTGTTTTGAGACGTCTCAAAACACACATGCGAGGCTCAGACTGTTTTG